AATTGACTCTTGATGCGTTCAAGCATGACACTCCTAAATGCCTCTGCCGAAGCGCTACTAAGTACGGAAGGCGGTTGATGACGCTGTCCCTTATCAGACCTAATTAATGTTACTTCTATTCTCACATCTTGTACTTCCTCCTTCATCTGAAGCATCATCTCCCGCATTTCACGCAATACTTCTGCTGGAGTGAGCTCTTCCTTCCTGTCTGGTACATTGTGAATGGTATTATCATTCTGTTGTGTTGAACTCATAACCTGTTGAACTAAATAGGTGGCCCGATACGCTGCCTCTGCGCAAAGTGCTGGAAATGTCAGATAGGAAGGAAGGACCTGGTGGTTTGAAGGTAAGTTTCCAAGTAAATTTATTATGCTTATAGTTAGCTAATTATGCAAATCGTTGGGAGTTTCATAATCCCTCCTGGCTTACTTAGGTACGACTTAACTTGTTTCCAACAGCTGACACGTCTCTACTGTATTAAGAGCGCAATTCGTGGATAATATAGACTAGTACTGCAATGCACTCCTTGCGACCCTAGCGAGAGAGTAAGATATTAATGGCCAAACCGCTTGTACTAAATTGGCAGTAAGAAGAGATTAGATCTCGAGCACTCACTTGAAGTCCATAGAGACGTTCACGGAAGCCCAAAATGCTGAGTTGCAAGCGAGAGCACAGAATGTGCTCCAAAATCAGGACGATGGAGGAGCAATGGATGACCAGCACCCATCAGGAGACAAGGAAATCGAAGTGATAAAGAAGTCCAAGTCAAACAAGGCTTGGAATAAGAAGAACAATAAGAAACCTGCTGAGAAGATGATTACAAGACAAACTTCGAAGAAAAAGAGCAATGAAGAGACTGCTAACCTAGTGACGAACGATTCTAGAACCTACAGTTAAGCAATGAAGACCAAGGATAAAGACCTATGGACTGTTGCGATAAAGTCGGAACTTGACTCATTAGAGCAGAACGGCACGTGGAAACCAGTGATGAAGACAGAAGACA